TAATCATTGGACAGCACGTGCATATATATATATATATATATATATATATATGCATGCATGCGTGCTCTGTTGGCATATTTCTATTCATATTTCTCTCAAGCTGTTTGCTTTTCTGGGACAAAGTATTTTAGATGAGATTGTGATTCTCTGGATAATATCCAACAGCCGACTTTGCACCTTGATGTTCCTCTCTTCTTCCAGAGGAATTCCAAAGCTTTGTTGGAAAGCTGCCAACGCATTATGCCGTAAACACATCTGTTGTGGAACACTTATGGAGGACAGATGCCAGCCTACTCCAGCGCTACAGGCAACTGGAGACCAGCAGCCAGCAGCTCTTCACCAAAGCTCAACGCACTGTCAACAAGCTCTTCAGACTTAGCAAAAGGTGCCGTCAACAGCCCAAAATCATCCTGCAGAGGCCGAGGTGAGATGCAAAACAGAAACAGGTGGAATTTTTAACCGGCAGGCTGGGAAAAGCATGTGCACAATGGTTGCTTTTACACAGTCAAGTATTTTGTGGCTCATTGAATCTTTTAGAATATGCGTGCTAATTTTGTCACATCCATCCCTGTTCATAGGAGCTGCAGAAAGGACTGAATCACTGGACATGTACAGGCGAGACCAGATACCACATATAGAGTACATAAACATCAGCGGTCAAAAACATTTGAATGCATTCCCGTGATTAATATCAGAGTCAAGATTTTTATTTGTCATATATGCGCAGTAAAAACTAAATGGTTTCATGGGAGCTGTGTGATGTGATGGTAGTGGACCCAAAAAAAAAAAAGTAGGGAGGCAGAAGAAGCAGGGTGTACCGAACAAACTATATTAACCAAAAAACACTTAAAGTGAAACAGTGGAAAATTTAAATCCAAATAAAATCCCGAAAACGACAAGAAACCAAAGTAACTAACAAAGTCAAAAGTCAAAGTCAGCTTTATTGTCAAATATGCCCTATGTACAACATACAGCACAGATGAGATTTCCTTCCTCTCAACCGCAGTGCAAACGTGCAGTGCATTGAAAACACACACAGCTAGAAATAAGGGCAGCAAAACTGAATGGTATAAAAAAAAAAAAACCTCTATAAATATAAACAAATAAAAACAAGAAATAGCAATCAACAAACAACAGACAACCAAGGGCACTTGGCACCTGTAATTATTGTGATTATATAACAAACAAACGAACAAACATACAAACAAACAAACCCAAGACAGAAGGACAAAGCAACATGACAGCAACAGAAACAACCCCCCCCCCCAAAAAAAAAAAAACATGACAGTAACACAACAACCCCAAGTGGTCAACGTGGCAGCCCTTTTAAATGAAAAGAACTAATGACGTGATGACCAATAGGTGCGATGACCTCCAATGCCACCTGTTGGTCACAAACGGAACCATAACACTCCTGTGAAATAAAATCCAAATCGAATCTTAACAAAAACATAATCACGACAAACGGTAGCACTGAGCAAAGAAATCCTGTACAAATGAATTTTAAAAAATAATGAAAGATAAATACGAAAGGAAATAAAAGGGAGCCTTACATGAACTAATTATGGGTAACATTTGTTTCTTTTGAAATAAGAGCTTTTTCTTGGAGGAGATAAAGTGATTTTTCATTTGTTGATTTTTAAAAATATACTTCTTGGAAGATCTTGTGTGATGCCTCTGTTGACTGTTTTCCTGGTATTGTGGTTATTTATCAGGTGTGAGTGTTCACAGTGTATTCCAGAAAATGTTGTTGCGCTTAAAACTAGCCTCTTCCCTACATTAAGTCATGATGGACCTTTCTGCGGATGGCATGGTTCTTTTATTTATTGACATACCACAAATGGTCAGTGAAAAACACATTAGCCAGGGGTCACTTTGACACCATCAGGCAGCTTTAAAGTGGCCTACCATGTAATTCCCCATTATTCCAGTTGATGACCTCACGACTTGTACTTGAGTACTTGGAATGTTTTCTGGTAGGAAATGGGCAAAAGAAAATTGGTGGTGGTTTTTGGAACCAGAAAGTGCAGCAAATCATACAAGGAAAGAGGTTAGCGAAGAAGAAATGGGACACTGAGGACTGAGGAGAGGAGACAAAATTACAAGGAGATGCGACAAAACGCAAAGGCGGACGTGGCAAAGGCAAAAACAAAACAAGGCAAAACAATGGGCACATGATGACATGCCCTTTCGAAAGAACGAGGACGATATGCAGAGTTGGGGAAACTCATTTCGAGTTGGAATCACGTTGATGAGCAACTCGCTGAAGTTATGGGAATGAGTAGTGGAAACTGGATTCTGACACATTCGAACTGAATGGCGATCGGATCAAACAAACGTAGACACAAACAAAATCCATGCAAAAATATTAATTTATTAGCAAAAGCGCATCGACAAAGTTTAAACTAAAATCGCTGGTTAAAAAAGAGCCAGGGAAAACAAAATACATTCCCAAAAAGCGCTTGCAAAGGCAAGGTAATAATCCAAGAATATGAACGAAATGAGTCCAATTTAACGAAACAAACACGAGAACAAGATCAGAAGACAAAATAATCTAAATACTTATCAGCGAGAGACGAGAGAGCAAAAAAATGACGAGATCGAGAGGTCTAGAAAAAAACACTTGAGCATGAGCAGCAAACATTGTCAATAATCCGACAGAGACCGGTCTCCTTAGGAAGTCCTTAAATACATGGGTAACGTGATGAACACGTTAGCAGCACGTGTGCATGCTGGAGGGAAAGCCCTCCTCTGCCACCTGCTGGAGACGCACAAGAACAGGATCATGACAGACTTAGGACATCTGACAACTCCATCTGGACTGTCTGTCGCACATGCGGAATTTATCAGTCGACAAAACCGTTTTGAAAATTTGTCTTCATCAGCCCATCGCAAAACATTTGTCCTTGGAGGCTCCTGCATTGAGAGCTTCTTGGGACTTCAGAGACACCAAACGCTTCAAAAACCTGCTTGCTGCTCATCAATGACTTTTTTTTTTTTTTTTTGCATCTGCTATCACCTAAACGGCTTAATAAGACGTAAAAAAAAAAACTGGCAGCAAGTCCCGTCAGGAACAGGAAGTGCGACATAAAGGAGAGAAGGAGCATAACCCTGCTTCCATGAGGGTGAAAGATGCAGCTGAGGCCACTCTATCATGGTGAGATGCAATTATTGTTTATACATAATGTATCAGAGAAGATTTTGTCGAATGTTGTTGGCATTGAGTGATTCATTTTAACCTGCAAATTAGGGCTTAACGATTTGGGAGAATAATAATTATGAACCTGTCAAAAACCTGCTTGCTGATCATCAATGACTTTTTTTTTTTTTTTTTTTTTTTTTTTTTGCATCAGCTATCAGCTAAACGGCTAAATAAGACGTTAAAAAAAGAAATGCCTTAATTGGCCTGTATCGGAGGTTGATTGCTTTCTGAATCAGACTTTTTTCGTACAGTGATTTTCTTGATTCCTGGTATTTTCGTTTCTTCTGCAATCAGCAGTAAAATCCTTTTCGCCCCACATAAAGCATACAACACGTGTGACTTTTGTAAACATCTGGAGCTACAGCCTTGAGTTATTTTCCTTCAATTAGACTCATCCAGGAAAATAATGAATGCATTTTGTCTGAGATTTACATCCTGGAGCCAAACAAAGGAGAAGTAAACCTCCCCACAAAACTTATAACTCAAGTGTTTCAAACCTAAATCCTATTTGTATTATAATTTGGACCGGCGTAAACGGCACTGACACGGAATGGGGAGACCTCTCTTCCTGCCAATATTCACTGTTTGAAAGTATTAGCAGAGCTTCAACGGACCAGGATGACGGCTATGTAAATGGTGAATGCCGGAACAACGGATCAGGGTGGGAAGTTTGGTATCATTATAATAAGTAGACACTAATAAGCATTAGTTAAGCATTCGTAAATACTGAGTTAATTATTTATAAAGTGTGTTTCTGATAATCAGTAGCATATAGTTCGCAAAAACCGCTGTAAATGTTTTACTCATCATTAATACGTGTCTTAGTAAAGCATGAGTAAATACCGAGTTCATTTATACAGCATGTTTCTGACATTGACCATCATTAATAAGTGGGTAATAAACACAGATGCATATGTTTTACTCCTCCTTAATAATCCATAACGCGCTCCATGATTTGCATTTTTATACTTTATGAATGACAGATTCAAATCCGCTCGATTATGTATTGCATCGTTTACCAATCAGTTATTTCGGAATTGTCAACGACAAGGTCATTTAGATAGTGTACGCAAATGATGAACCAAACTATTTAGATGTGCCCGCATGCACTTACACATCAACTATTCAGACATGTACAAATGGTTAGCGAGTGTGTTAGCAGACGTGTTATAAAAACGCACACATTTTGTTTTCCAATAAATGTCTCATTAACGCTTGTTAACACATGAATCCATTATTTCGGGTAGTTACAAAGCCCCTTACCAAGTATTCGGCGTGAGCCCATCCAATGGGAGCACTATCTATAGCCTTATAAAGCATTTATAGATGAAATTTAAAGACTGACAAAGCCTCGAGACTCACAAAAATCTGTTATCTTCACAGACAAAGGAAAGACACAACACAAAGGGATACAGAACAGGATTGCATTCATATTTAGTTGATTTATTTATACATAAATAAGGCGGCCTGGTGAGCAAGTGGTTAGCGCATCGCCCTCACAGTGCAGAGGTACCGGGTTCGATTCCAGCTCCAGCCTTCCTGTGTGGAGTTTCCATGTTTTCGCCATGCCTGTGTGGGTTTTCTCTGGGTACTCCGGTTTCATCCCACATTCCAAAGCATGCATGGCAGGTTGATTGACCACTCTAAATTGTCCCGAGGTTTGATTCTGAGCATGGATGGTTGTTCGTCTCTATGTGGATGCGATTGGCTGGCAACCAGTTCAGGGTGTCCCCCGCCTACTGCCCGAGGACGGCTGGGATAGGCTCAGCACCCTCTGCGACCCTTGTGAGGATAAAGCGGATCAGAAAATGGATGGATAGATACATAAATTAATGAGTGTAAACACCACGAACAGTGGAAAACAAATAAAAGCCATTAAATATTTGATTAGAAACATCTAAAAACTTTCAATAGCCATCCACCCGTCAATTTTCTGATCCGCTTATCCGCACAAGGGTCGCAGGGCGTGCTGGAGCCCATCCCAGCTATCTTCGGACAGTCGGCGGGAGACACCCTGAACCGGTTGCCAGCCAATCGCAGGGCACACAGAGACGAACAACCATCCTCGCTCACACTCACACCTTGGGACAATTTAGAGTGTTCTATTAAAATGCCATGCAGGTTTTTTGGAATGTGAGAGGAAACCGGAGTACCCGGAGAAAACCCACGCAGACACAGGGGAGAACACGTAAACACCACACAGGAAGGCCGGAGTCGGAACTGAACCCTGCACCTCTGCTCTGTGAGGTCGACGCGCTAACCAGTCGACCACCGGGCCGTCCTCTGAGTCCTCCTAACAAGAAATATTGCAAGAATATTGCATGTTTTGTCACAGAAACGCATCAGGGCGAGGGTTCATCTGGTTGCCAACTATCTTCCTGGTTCAGTTCCCAAATGTTGTCAGAGTAGCCCTCAGCCAGATCCTAACGCCGACAGTTGCAGCTTAAGCTGCGACACGAGTGTGTAAATGAGCCCGATACTTTACTTCCATGCCAGCCAGCATTCACCATGACGGTGCCAGCAAGTCAACACCGTAAAAGCACTGAGTAGTCTGAATTTGGAAAGGTGCTCGAGAAATGCGGCCCATTTACTGTTCACCATTTTTTCAAGAATTTCAGCCGTGGCTGTGTGGTTGCCCTCCATTACTGCTGTCGCTATTCTTATTTTGTTCCGGCTACAGCTGCTTTTTCAGCACAGATCTCAACCGGATGCTCGATTTAGTAGCTTACCACGGCCGCTGCGGTCATGACGGCAGTCTCTTGGTTTGCTCTTTCTTGGAGGGATATGAACAAACTTCTGAGTCTGAAATCAAATTACACTTGTTTAGGACACAAGTGCCGCTTGTGAAATAAAATAAGACAATATTGGTTTTGGGTCAGTTTGTACATTTGTTCTTTTATTGTTTGCGTAAGCGAAGCATTTATTTTATGGGTTTATTACATTTTCCATGTGCTGACAGGTCATATTCTAAACGGAAAGTCCAGTGGATTTTTTTTTAAACAGCAGTTCTTAGACAAGCGTGTCAACTGTGATTGTCAGTCCGTGCATCTGTTGTTTCTCTTTGATCCGATCAAACAAAAAAAGAATTCTTTCTCTTTTTTTGACAAAATGCTAAATAGTACGTTAAATGTCTGACCAGATGACATAAAAGACGACGTGCACACCCATTACCCTTCTCCTGAATACATTTACAAGATACAAAGCCCGGAGACAAGTGGCCCTTGTAATTTAGAGGGACCGTTCAGGGATTGAAGTGTCCTAATGGTTTTCTTGTCCTGAGGACCATTTAAAAAGAAAAACCCTCAATGTGAAACTAATGGAGGATACCATAAAAGGCAAGGCGAGGCCATTTAAAAGGGAGCTCAGAGTCATTAGCCACAAACGGACAAAAAAGGGATGCAAGAAGAAGAAGAATCAGGCACATTCGATCAGGTCCAACACTTACAAGATGTGATTCTCTTCTAGGTCTGCGCACTTCTGGTTGAGCTACACCCTCTCCATCTTGTACTGCAGTGAGAACAACCAAGTGGGTGTCTACAACGACGAGAGTCGCAGATGCTCCTGCCCCTATAGTCATCCGCCATGCCAAGGTCTCATCCCGTGCTCCATCGGCGACGGACCCCGCTGTTCGTCTTGCTCCGCTGAGAATCGCACGCGATGCTCCAGCTGCAATCCCGGCTTCAACCTGAACCAGGGGACCTGCAGGCACGCGGTGCCCGATCCTACGGACCCTTACTTGGGTCTGGAAAGTGACCAAGACTTGCACGACCTGGAGCTCCGCTACCTTCTTCAGAGGCGCGATCCGCGCATCACTCTGCATGCCGTGTTCGTAAGCAACGACGTGCGGATAAACACGTGGTTTGACCCGTCGTGGAGGAAGCGGATGCTCCTGACCCTGAAGAGCAACCGGGTCAAGTCAAATCGAGTTCACATGCTCCTTGGAGTCGTCTTGCAGTTTTGCCTCACCAGGAACAGCACCCTCGAGCCAGCTTTTTCGCTCTTTGTGAACCCCTTCGGAGGCAGCCATTCAGAGAGCTGGACAATGCCGATAGGCCAACACGGCTATCCCGACTGGGAGCGGACCAAACTGGACATTCCCTTGGACTGCTATAACTGGACGTTGTCTCTCGGAAACAGATGGAAGAGCTTTTTTGAGACGGTGCATTTTTACTTGAGGAGCCGAATCAAGGACGGCACGTCAATGGGCTCCAAGAACATTTCGGCGGACGATGATCCTCTGGAGGCGACGGAGCCGCCCAACAACGTGGGTTATATGAAAGTGAACAGCATGCAGCTGTTTGGATACAGCATGCATTTTGACCCTGAGGCGATCCAGGACTTGATTCTGCAGATTGACTACCCGTACACTCAGGGATCACAGGACTCGGCTCTGTTGCAGCTGGTGGAGCTGCGCTACAGGGTAAACCGCCTCTCGCCTCCAGGGGCCACCCACGTGGATCTTTTTGCCTGTCTGCTCCGCCACAGACTGAAACTCTCCAGTGCAGACGTGACCAGGATCCTCACTGCCCTGCAGACTTTTAGTGCCGGACAACCAAGCTATGTGGAGTACGAGGCGATTAAACTATGTAGCTAATGGCTCCCCTTATTATGTTTTCTATTTTCTTGCCGCATACAGTACGGGCTTGCATCCTCTTTCAGCTGGATCCATTTGTTGTCAAGTGAATGGTACGTTGTTCAAGGCTTTGTTGTACATAAGCTGTGTGCAATTCAAATCAGTGCTAATGTCAATGTAGTTTTATGAATAAAAGATGTTTAAATCTTGGGTTTCAATGACGTGCTCCTCACTGGTATGAAACGGCTACGAAACAAGCGCACTCAATCAATTCCGTGCACAGCGTGTGGGAGGTTTTCGATCCAATTCGATTGACATCCAAGGAACAACGGTAAGGCCTAATTGTTTTTGTTTTTGTTTTTTTGCTCAAAGCTTCTCCCGAAGTCGTGAATTAAGATAGAAATCAAGTGTTGTATTTGTCGACAAACTGATCACGGCGGGCAGAAGCAAATACAAAACCCAAAGCGTTATACTTCAAAGTCAACACTGCATTGGAACATGAAAGGCAATTGGACATGAACACAAACGCCAAAGAAAATGAGCAGAAATTAAAGAATGACAGACGAATACGTTTGAAATTCCAAACTGTCGGTAAATTCTTCCGATTGCCCACCTAATAAGCAATTCTGGAAACATAATTTGGGTTTTTTTGTCAGTGTCGACTAAGAAACTTAAGCCACATTCCTGACATTTCAATCACATTCAAGCATGAACAAATCTGAATTCTGGAAATCCTGAGTTTGACTTGTTCTGTGATGCTTCATTTCACCATTTTTGCGAGTTGTTTCTTTTTTTTTTTTTTTTCATCTTTGCGAGCACCTCATGTATACACGTTGCACGTAATATGAGGCCTGCCCGAGATTAATTATTGTCGACCACCAAGGAAGGTGATCCGTAGTTGCCATGGCAATGACAAAAAAAATACCTCTGTGAGAAGCCAGTGTACCATTAAAAATATTGTGAAACCGTTTAATTGAATTTAAATCACAGCACAATGCAACCTTGAACAGTATTAAATTAGAAAATACCGCCAAAAGAATAATTTTGTTTGAATATTGTTCAAAAGAAGCGATGACCATTTTTACCGCAACGTTACCAAGCATCAGCATATGAGCGGTCTTACACTGGAAAGCTGCAGTTGTGAGCACTGTTGTTGTTGTTGTTGTTTTTATCCCATCTGGAGCACCAAAACACAAGGTCTCCATTCTCCTTTTCAGGAGTAGCCTTGGCACAGATTACTAAGTATATAGTTGGAGAGGGAGGGGAGGGTTGGTAGGAACGCTCCTCTGATCCTCCGCCGTCCCTGACTGCCATTCACACTTACTGTGATAGATGAGCTTGGTAGGCAGTGAGACATGACCGGCATCAAACAGCAGTAAGTTAGCTATCAGTGATGAGGATAGTGCCCCCGGATATAAAACGGAGGGACAAGAGCCACATGGACCAAAAGGAAAATTAGCTTCAATTCCCTAGGGGCAGTCAGTACAGGGAGTCGGTGTTACACAGCACGGCTTTTGATTCAGATCTTTGCATCTGAAGGGAAAGACAAAGCTTATCGAGATTCCCCCAACATGCTTCTCCACAGATTAAAGCTCTTGCGGTATGACTCGCATCGAATACAGAGAGGTTCGTACGGATTATGATTTGAGAGAGGCGATGTTGAGTGATTATAGTTTGTCCTGAAATATTGGGAAATATTGACCACTTTTGAGAAAGCACCCCCCCCCCCCACACACACCATCCCCCAGGCGATAAAGACAAATATTGGGGACTGTGGTCAGGATTTTAAAACTGCATCTTGGAATTCAACTGCAAAAATATCTGTGGTGGAAGTCACGAGTAACGTGGCAAAGCATGAGATGTTGAGTGATTATAGTTTGTCCTGAAATATTGGTAGGTATTGACCACTTTTGAGAAAGCACCCCCCCCACCACAAAAATATCTGTGGTGGAAGTCACGAGTAACGTGGCAAAGCATGACTTCCTGTCAGAGAGTCTTTCGGTTGTGAGTCACAAGCCTTCTCGTCTGACATCAGTGTGTGACTTCACAAATGTGCTTCTGGAAGAAGGGTTCAACATTCGACCAAAACATACCCCTGAATCTGACAATCTTCCCAGAAGAGTTGAAGCTGTTATAGGTGCAAAAAGTGGGCCGGCGTCACTGAACCCTATGGATGATTGTTCTGTCTACATTCAAGGAACACATGGAACACAAACAACCGCTCACACGGAAATAACTCCACAGGCATCACCAACGGGCAGTATGTAAACCAGGAAGTAAACCCATCCATCCATTTTCCGATCCGCTGAATCCTCACAAGGGTCGCAGGGGGTGCTGGGGCCTATCCCAGTTGTCTTCGGAACACCCTGAACCGGTTGCCAGCCAATCGTAGGGCACACACAGACGAACAACCATCCGCGCTCACACTCACACCTAGGGACAATTTCGAGTGTTCAATCAGCCTGCCATGCATGTTTTAGGAATGCGGGACGAAACTGGAGTACCCGGAGAAAACCCACACGGGCACAGGAAGAAAATGCAAACTCCACACAGGAAGGCCGCCCAGGAAGTAAACCATCATATAGAAATAATACAAATGTGACATATTTTCTTGGCGGGAACTCACCCCCCCACCATCTGCCCCACCCCCCACCCCCCACTGATTAACACAAGGGCAAACTCCATATTTTTATCCGCATTTGGAAGAGGCCCGATTCCGTTCTGAGAATATCCAATTCCATGTATTCCGGAATGGCATCACTTGGATCCTGTAGTGTAAATCCCGCCTAATTGCTTCATTACACATACATTTTACTTTTAACATACGCATCTCTTAAAATGGCCAAGTAACAGCTGCAAACCAATTAGAGTGACTTTTAAATAACAACCAGGATGCACACTTACTCTTACAACTGGACAGAAACGAGACCATAAAGATTAAATCATTGGGCGAAGTACCAAAGTTTTAATGGCAACAAAAAAAGGTTTGTTTCTTTACTAATTGCCGCATAATGGTTCAAGTCCTGCTGTGTACTCTGGGTACTTTTCTGGACTCGTCCTGAAGGCCCTGACTCGTTATCGTCTTAGCACAAGATGCTGAGACCTGTCCTGCTTACATTTCAAGTGGCGAAGTTTTCAACACACTCTGCAAATTTGTTCTCCAATTGATGTGTCTGACCTCAACCCCTATGAGGAAAAGACGTGAGAATTCATTGACATGGACTTCAAACTGATATGACCTGTGGAGAAGCGTATATCAAACACCACCTTCCTCACACTTTCTTTGCTGAAGTCTGCATATACTCTACGCTCCGATCAAGCATCTATCACCTGAAGAATTTGCATGTGTCTACACAAACTAATGGATTCCGGGTGCGGTCCTTAACAGTTTTCGAGCATGCAATACACTGGAGAGGAAAAATGCTGCAATATGGTAAAAGGTGGACATACGTGAGGGGAGCGGGGGGTATTTGAGGGCAGGATTTATAAATGCGTGCGAGCAGCTATGCACACATGCTCGCTCGTACACTCAAACACGGGGCAGAGGCTGAGTGATAAGCGGCTGCTTTGCCTTGGCAGTTGTGTGGGTCTCTGAGGAAACATGAGCTCAACTAATGTGAGTGTCTGTTTAACAAGCATGCTGGTGTGGGGAGGCTCGAGCTCGATGAAGGGGAGGACTTGGTGGAGAGGATGAGCCCAAGGGAGGCATCCGGAATAATAGCTGATGATACGTCAGAGCCACCCAGACAACCGGCTTTAAGAAGATGGGAGAAGGGGGGCGGGGTGTTAATAATGTTTACAGTTTAGTATTTTAAATCTATCGGAGACACGGAACTGCCAATGGAAATTTTTTTTTTTTTTTTTTGACTTGGCAATACATTCGAACGTACTTGTGAGTACATTTGAACGTACTTGTGAGCTAAATGCTACAAACGTAGCATTTTTCCAATAATGCCTCAGGTTATTGACTTGGACATGCACAAGTAAAAAAAGTTTTTCTTTTTTAACATTAAAACAACTATATTGTACGCAAACATTGTCATATTCAGCAAGTAAATATTGTTTATTCATAATTGTTATGGTGTTATTATGTGTAGCGTGCATGAGTTCCGTTTAGCTTGCGACTTGTGCTTGCCTACGCCTTGTGGCATTATGAGGAAAATACCGGAATAAATAAAACCATAACATTTTGAACAAACAAGGTTTACTTACTTAATATTTAAACCTATTGGTATAATGTTGGGCAAATACAGTATTTTAAAAAAAATAAAAAAAAGCACTGTTCTAAAAAAAAAGGTTACGTTTGTAACATGTATCCTCCATGCACATTATAATGTATTTTCAAGTACGCCCGATTGTATTCTCGAGTACGTTCAAACATAATTTCCAATTTTGTATTTAATTTATTTATTTATTTCATTATTTATTGATTAAATTTACGCACTTACAGTCCCACGTTTGCCTACCAGTGGACACGTTGGTTTGACAGTTTTATTTAAACACTCATTCGGCGCTCAAAATATGTGACACCTGACGTGCAACACCTGGAGCCAAGATTTATTGAGCTGTTCAACCCCCGCAAGGCAATCCGTGGATAACGCCAAGAAAAAAAAAAGGTTTTAACAAACACATAATGCTTCATGTTATACATGATTATATTGAAAAACAAACCTCGTTCGCGCCTCACAGATGACAGCTTGCGCGAAAACGAAGGTGTCGACGACAGCCCTGATGTGCCGACGCTGCATCCTAAAATAAATCTTCTAATATGCTGTTATTTTGCAAAGGTACCGTATATTTTTCATTGCGATGGGAAATAGCCTTTTTTTTTTTTCATTCAAGTTGACAGCTGACTGCACATGCCACATGCGATAAAATGACATACTTGGTTCGCTGCAGGCGGATCATTTAAGTTTGGCTCTAATTTCATGATAATAAGTGCGAATAATTGAGTCAGACTAAGGAGGTGTTTGTTTTGAAAATTAGAGAGTGCTCCTGCCAGCAACAAGACGGATGTCTTTTGCAAAGTGGGAAAACCACAATCGATCAGACTAATGTGACACCTATCCAGCAGCCTCAGAAGACATTTTACAATCTAAATAAGATTTGCAACTATTTCAATATTGGGGTTGAAAATATTCCACACCGACACGCGTGGCACTTTCAGTTTAACAGTTTCTCAAGAAAAAAAAAAATCTCTCTCTCCTATATATATATA